AGTTTTATTCCAGAAGAAATTAATGCTGGTTAAATGCAGGTGCACTTAGTAAACGTTTACTAAACCTGTCTGGAGTGCGTCTATCGTTTTTCCAACCCAGTTCAGATCAAGTAATATCACATGTCCTCTAGCTTGGGACAAAAGGAAATGGGTAGCTACTGGTAGCTAAATGTTAACTAGCCACAAACAATTAGCTAACTACCCCTCCTCGCTGTTCCAGGAGAAACACGCTGCACTTTCAAAAATGATGCAATATAAAAACACAATTGTGCCAAAACACATGCAAATAAAGAGACATCTTCACCAACCTGCCCGAAACATGCACAGCGTTTAAAAAGAAGTGCTGTATAAACACAATGCTGCAAACACAAAACTGCAAAAATTAAAAAGGCGCTGCATGAAGCTTTAAACACAACAGAAAAAGGGACACTAAAAAGTGACGCACACTGCTGGGACTGGAGCGCTCTGCATAACTTTGATCAGTCAGTTATATTACAAACAAAAGACAACGCAATCCACCTCAAAAAAGGTGCACTATGAAGCGACTGCACTGTAGCTGTCATGTTCATTCTTCGCGGGATGACAACGCATGCTTTCGTAATCTAGAAGTGGACGTTAATTTGGCTCTGAGTATTAACGATCTAACATCTGTATAAAAACATTACTTGTACACTTAATATTACATTACATGACATGTTAGACACTTTTATCCAAAGCGACTTCCATACTCAATACTGTGGGCAATCCCCACACAAGCAATTTGGGGTGAAGTGTCTCAGGGACACAGCGACATGCTGACTGCAGTGGGGTTTGAACCAGTGACCACCTGATCCCAACACCTACGGACAACCCACTACGCCACACACTCCCTTTATAATAGCACATAAATGAGCTTCACTTCAAGAACAAATTTAGAAGATTACACTGGGGAACTATCCGAAGCTTTTTAAAATTAATTGAATGCCAGGAGCTCTGCTTTTAACAACTTCATCATAAGTGTTCCATTTTACAAAATGAAACTAGTATTTACAAAGACAGAATCACTTATCAGCTCTGCTCAAAGTGGAGGAATAGGTCCAAACCTATCGGGAGGAATAAAAGCCCCACATGGTCCTTCCCCTTCATGTCCGTGGATTAACAAGGTGTCTGTGCCAGGCTGCCTGCTCTGGGGTCACAGTGAACGACAGCACAGTCTGATGACAGAAAGGAGCTGGAGCTGAAGGACGTGTGCCTCTCTTCTCCAGCAGCAGGGATAAGCCCAGAGAGACGGCCATACAGATAGGAGAAGGCGCAGAGAGATACATATCAACCCACCCAAGAAAAAATGGGGGCCTGTCAGGTGAGAGCTGTGCCTGGAGACAGAAATAGGACGGAGCAGAGAGAGATAGACATCGTGCCGCTGCAGCAGATATAAAGAACGCACAGAAGGGGCTCTGTGGTACCTGGAAATGAGAAGGAGGAGGAAAATAAATGATGATGAAGAGAGAGTGTCAACCCATCACCGGGCTGTTACATTATTAAAGATACACTTCACACACACACACACACACACACACACACACACACACACACACACACACACACACACACACACACACACAACATGGAAGACAACACTTCTCTCTGGTGGAGTCTGTAATGAAGAAACGTGTAAATGTAGGAGTATGTGGGGGAGAAGCAGAGCATGATTCATTGTGGCCCAAAAACATCACTGAAATGTGGTTTGCGGAACTAAAAGAATGTATTGGGTTATAAAGAATACCACATGAAATAACAACAAAAATGTAGTTTTTTTAAGATCCTTGCCATAATATCACATTAATGGAAATATGACCGTAGGTATTTACTACTTATCACTAATACTGAAACTGCTACCAGTAAAACTATGACCTTTAGTAGCTAATGAGGAAGAGGAGACCTGCCAGTTGTGGGGCTGGACCTCGTCAATAGTCAGGATCAATCAATCCTGCTCAAATGCTCAAATGTTGACCCCAGAGCAGTGACCCCACGTAGGTGCAGACATGGTCATGAGGTCCGAAGCCACGAGGCGTTGGTCCTGCCAGAGTTAACTGTTCCCTAGGAAGACCAGATGGATCATTGAGATGAAAAGGGCAAAGTACTTGGAGCTGGCCAGACCTGATTAACCCTGAGTGGGTGACCTGGGGTCCACACCCCATGACCCAAAGTAACATCACTTTGCATTGAAAGGTCTGTCTTGGAGCCTGTTTTTGTGTTCATTCGAGCATCGCCAAGATCCTTAAAACACTGTTAGCCTTGTAGAGTTCAAACTATTATTTCAAGGTATACACAAACAAAGACACAAGTATCTTATTAAATGTACTTTGCATGCAACTTTTCAAGACCATCATGGGCCAAAAAGTTTCCACGTTTGCGGCTTGGCAATTAGCTTGTTTTAATAAAGTAGTTAATCGTGATTTATTACATGCACCACTAAACTAGAATATAAACAGTTTTAGGCGGTTATTGCATTATTTCCTTGATTCTGTCTTGCTATGGATGTGTATCTATAGTAGGGATATACAAATCCGATATGTGGGGGCCCCATAAGATAAAATTAGATGGACCTTTATGGATCCCTGTAAGGACATTCAGGAGTTAAGGCAGCAACAGAGTAAGATTGAATAACAGGACAGCACAGATTAGAGTTCAAGAATAATACAATTAAAATAAAAAGTTATAAGTGAAAACGAGATATCACAACAAGGTAAAACGTTGATCTTATAATACATCGGGAAAGCCAGGCTACGCCATTTTGCTGAACAACAGCTAACACAATAGCTAACAATAGTGTCATATTAGCAAGAGTAGAGAACAGTCAAAGGGTCTCTAAACTTCCTCAACAATGTCAGCTTGACAATAGTATTTCTCTTAATAAATAGGGTGTGGTCAAAAGCCTCGAAATTTATATTTGGTTTTACGAGAATAAGTTAGACTGTTGCAGCAAACCCCGAAGAGCAGTGCTTTTGTTTCTTATAATGTTTATTTGTCTAAGGTGCAATGGGTTATATTACCGTTCAAAATGAACAGTTTCACTTATAAGGCATCTGGCTTACTATAGAGCAGGGGTAGGCAACCTTTTTCATATGAAGTGCCATTTTAAAAAAAAATGTTTATCAGCGTGCCAACGATCGAGAATTATCAACGGGGGGGGGGGGGTTGAGGAGCTTGACGCTCGTCAACTATCAGCCTCGCTGCGGGGAAGCAGTGTGTGGACATGTCAGCGCAACTTACATGATGCCGAATTTAACAAACACATTTAAACAATTGGTTTAAACTGCATAATAATAAGGACGATCGTCCGTTCTCTGATTTTCCAGAGCACACATGTTATGATATTAGGTTCATGCAGAGTGAGATGAGGTCGCTGTCCCTTTAAGAGAGAGAGAGAGAGAGACAGAGAGCGTACGTAGAGAGAGAGAGAGAGAGGGGGGGGGGGGGGTGTGGCTTGTGCATGTGTGTTTGTGGATGGTAGAGCGACAGTGAGGGAACGTGTATGTTTCTGGAAGTGAAACGAGGCAGCAGAAAAACAGAGGTCTGTGATGTATTTTGTGAAACAGAAGAACAGCTAAATAAATGCAACGGCCTCCCAAGAAGAGCTCACCTCTCTCCAGGCATTTAAGCTAAAGTTGGTTATTGAACCTGAAGCTTGTTGCTTCTGCCCTCCTCGACTACGGTCTGGGAGCCGACAGGAAAGTTCAACACACAGTTGGCCAGTCCGCCCCTTTGTAGCATATTATTTCGATGAGAGATGAGCAGATCGCCACTGGGCTTTCAACTAAATACACAGCCACGCAAAAACTGCGGCATTTGTACAGCTCCTTATGGGTAGGCTACTGCAATTAGTGAAGTGCTTTCCTCCGTGGTGAAACGATCAGCACTGCACCACGGAGGAAAGTGGCAGAAAGTCACCTGGAGATAAAGAGAGCGGGGCTGCGTTACGTGAATGGCTTCCTTCTGCAGGTAACGGGGAGACGCGCTCTGGCGGCGGTCTCGGTCAGGATCCAAAAATACAATTTAAATATTTTGCACACTTATTCCACTTATTCCTAGTGTGCCACTGGTTACGGTGCCAGGGGTTGCCGACCCCTGGTCTAGAGCGTAAGAATGGTCAGAGGAGGCTGATGCACTCCCTGCGATCCAATGC